TGTAGCCCTATAGCTGCTGCATGCAGAAGGGTCTCATCTCTCTTACCACTGTGTTTCTGTGTTTGCCTTTTAACTTCAAAGACAGAATTAATTTCTACTTAAATCCCTTGGGTGAACCACAAACTGGATCAATCCTGCCCTCATTTCTTCGTTGTCCTTTTGTGGAAAGAGTTGTGAGTTCTGTGTCAAGTTTTCAGTGGGGCAGGTGCTCTGTGAACGAAGAGTCTGGGCTGGTGGTAGTATTCATTGACCCAGTTAGTTTGCCGTTGTAAAGATGCCAAAGACTGAACAAATCACAAGGTCCTAGCTCCTGCATTCATCTGTAAATATTACTCTGCCCCTGCTGCAGTTACTTCCTATTTATCTTGTCTGGAGCACTTTCTTTGAAGCAAAGTCAGCTACGATCAAACTTGAAGATAACACTGCATTTGCAAGGGGAGTAAATACAGAGGATGGCAGCACCAAAATGCAGAGAGAAACTGGAGAAATAAGGGCCGTGTGCCATGAGAAGAGATGAGAGCCTCTTAAATGGAAAGACCTGCACAGAGAGAGGTGGCAGGTGGCACAAATTAAAAAGGAATTGCTGATCTTAAACGGGAGTCTCTGTGCTTTCTGAGCCATGCTCAAGTGGATCCTCCGAATGCAGGAGCAGGGCGGACAGGTCTGAAGGATGTCCCATGCCTTTTAGTTTCTCATGTTGGAATCTACTGCATGGAGGGAATGGTGTTATCCTCAAGTCCTGCTTAGAAAGTGCCATGAGATCTTTAACTTCCATCAGAGATGGGCAGTAGGGAGTTGAGGTTAATAAGACTATGGGGAGGGCTGCACCTGAGCTTTGTCCTGCAATGTTAACCACCTTCCTGTGTGAAGCTTTAAGTGTCAGCTTAGGCTGCATCTCAGTAGTTTGTGCTACATCTGTGTTTTCTGCTTCTGTTAAACTCCCAGGAGGTAACACACATAACGCAAATGGAGTGTTTTCTATGTGTGTTTCTAGGTGCAGAACTTGGCTGTGAGGAGCCAGCAGACATCAGCCACTAATGCCCAGCTCCAAGGTTCTGCTCAGAAGGCAGCTGTGCCAGGAAACTCCCAGCCTTCCGGCCTACCACAGGCCACAAATACAGGCCAGACATTGGCAGTGGCTCAGGCTTCTTCTGGCAACACAGGCCAGTCCCTCAACTTGAGCCAGGGGGCCACAGGCAGCAATAGTGTCTCTGGGGGTGTGGTGGCAAGCAGTGGGAACCAGACCTCAACAGGACTGAGCCAGGCATCCTCAGCAGGCGCTCCTGGTAGTTGCCAAAGGAAAGGCACAGGGGTGGTTCAGCCATTGCCAGTAGCAGCTGCCCAGGCAGTGACTGTCAGTCAGGGAAGCCAAACAGAAACAGAGAATGCAGCCACAAAGAAGTGTGAAGCAGACAGTGGTGGACAGCAAACAGTGGGCATGAACCTGACCAGGACAGCTACACCAGCACCTAGCCAGACGTTGATCAGCTCAGGTAAGTGGGGACTTGCTCCTCCTCTTTGAGCCCATTGGGCCTCCACAGGAAAGTCTCATTTGAGAAGTTTTCCACCATGTTTCCAAGTCTCAGTGTTTCAGGATGCGATTCTGTAGGAATTATCCGTCTTTGTGAATGAGAGTATTTGATCTCGGCCTGTTCCGTCCCCAGTCTTCTCTGCTAATAAGCTGTCAGACATTTTGGAATTTAACAATTCAAAACAGTGCTGGGGGGTTAAAAAGTCCATTTTCCATCCTTGCTTCTTTTTGTTTCCAGCTGCCCTGCTGCTAATTTTATGTACTGCCCTCTTTTCCCATCCCATGTTTGTAGCCACATATACACAGATCCAGCCCCACTCGCTGATACAGCAGCAGCAGCAGATCCACCTGCAGAAACAAGTAGTGATCCAGCAGCAGATTGCCATTCATCACCAGCAGCAGTTCCAACACGACCAGTCCCAGCTCCTCCACACAGCCACCCATCTCCAGCTGGCTCAGCAGCAGCAACAGCAGCAAGCACCATCTCTAACTCAACAGCAGCAGCAAGCTCAACCCCCACAGCAGCAAGCTTCATCTCAAAACCAGCAGCAAGCTCAGACCCTTGTGGTGCAACCTATGTTGCAGTCCCAGCCACAGCCTGTTCAGTCAGCAGGACAGCCCTTGCCAGCCAGGCACCAAGTCACCTATTCCAATTCAGTCAAAAGCTCTGGTCACCTCCATCAAACCGCCTCAGCTTGGGCCTGCCAAAATGTCAGCAGCACTGCAGCCTCCACCACATATCCCAGTGCAGGTGGTGGGTACACGGCAGCAGGGCTCAGGACAAGCTCAGGCACTGGGTTTGACTCAGATTGCTGCAGCAGTGCCCGCCTCCCGGGGTATGCCAGCTGTGGTCCAGCCTGTTTCCCAAGCCCACGCTTCTTCCCCATCATCCGCTCCGGCATCTTTGCAGGAAGCTCCTCCTCTCACCACAGGGGTAAATTTGGCACAAGTTCAAGGTACAGCCCACATGGTGAAGAGCACAGCCTCCTCTCCAGTTGTGGCTCAGATGCCAGCAGCATTCTACATGCAGTCTGTCCAGTTGCCAGTAAGTGACATCACTGAGAAGGGAGGATAGCATATGGACTCTATTCGTTCATTCCTTAGGACACCAATTTTAGTCCAGCCCTGGGTCAGTGAAGTGGGGTGTGCTGAGGCATTTGGGGAAAGGAATATGGAGTTGTTTCCTTTCAGATGCATGAATTCCAGTCCAGTCGTAGGGACTATTGACTGCAAGTAATTCTCTTCCACATGATCATTCAGAGGTTTGCATGAGATTTGTTGGTGAAACTCGGCCCTGCTTCAAATGGGAGTATATGTCCTCAACACATACTATCACACTTAACAATAATTGGCATCTTTGTCTCTCTTAGGAGAGAGACCAAGGCTGAGTGGGCCATGAAAACTGAACTGCCCTCCTCCAAGTAGGTAGGGATACCACCAGTGCAGAGACCCCATGGTGTGTGGTATTGGCTGCAGAGTTAGGGCTGACTTTGGGCTTCTGAGGTTTCTCTAGTAACAGGTTATAAGAGGAATGAATATGGCTCATGCTGCACAAGCTTCTTTCATGCTGCTCTGAACTACCCATCTAGAGTCTACCTAACCCCTGTAACAACACTTTGCTCGCCCAGGTATCCTTAGCAGGCTCCTCAGGCTGTTCATTTTCATGAGACTTCACTTGTGTAGTCAGTCAAGGGCAGAATGCACCAGTTTCTAAACTCTGGCTCCTCCTTCAGGCAATCCTGTGATAGCTCCCTGAGGACTAGAGGACAAGTCGGTCTCTTGTCCAGCATATTTCCTTTAGTGTTACAATTCTTTCTTTGTAGAAACAGTGATCCAGCTGATGAAGGCTTATTTGGAAACTGGTAGGTGGCTGCCAATCCAGTTCCTTCTTGCTGGAGTAATTCCTTGAGCCTGGGACAGTGCTATTATCTTGATAATATATCAGTGTATCAAGATGAATTTGGAGATATATCCTAATCCTAGTGCTGTGCTCGTGAGTGTCCTAAGTTTTGCTCCCCACTAAGCAAACGTCCTTAAACAGAGGAATGTACTGATGAGGGAGCTTGAGGTAGGGGAAGGAACTAGGCAGAAGAGGAAGGAAGATGGAGCAGGGTGTATCCTGCTGCCTTCAGTCTGTGGTGGTCTGTGATTGGGGGGTGGGGGTCCTCTTTCTGCTTATGTGTTCTTCTTCCTTCACACAGGGCAAGTCTCAGGCCTTAGCTGTGAAGCGCAAGGCAGAGTCAGAGGAGGAGAAGGAAGAATCACCCAGTGTAAATGCAGTTCTGCCTGCTAGGTCTTCTCCTGTGACAGACAGCCCCAAAAACATGGATGAGAAGAGTGGCCTTGGAGGTGAGGTGCAAACGAAAGCCATGTTTTGGTTTGGTTTATGATCCAATCTCTTATTGCAAAAAGAATATTAGGAGCAGAGAGAGCAAAGGTTACAGTGACTCCCGTGGTTTTAATATTCCAGATAAATCCGATTCCGCTGCCAGTGCAACCTCAAATACCACTTCAAGTGAAGCAAGATCAGTCACACCCACGTCAGCTCCCACCCCAAACCTGGCAATGGTGTCACGTCAGACAGGAGACTCCAAACCCCCACAAGCCATTGTGAAGCCCCAGATTCTCACACACATCATAGAGGGCTTTGTCATCCAGGAAGGAGCAGAGCCTTTTCCAGTAAGTGTCCACGGTGTACGGAAGGAGAGGCATCTATCTTGAGAGGGTGGTGGTCTACTTTCTTTGGACAGGAGTTTCTTTCCTCATGCTCAAGTCTGCTGCTTTTCTCAAAAGACATAGGCAGTGAAAAGAAGAAAAAGGAGAGAGGTTTCATTCATCAAGCAGGCATTAAGTGCTGCTACTAAAGAAAGTGGGTTAGAGGGAAGTGATGGGATTTTTTTCCCCCCAAGTCAGTACTCCTCAAAATAATACTATGTGCAGGAATTTCTTCTCTCTCTCTCTCTGTTTTTTTAATGGAGGCAAAGATGCACTGCATGTTGAACAAGCAGCTGCTGATGTTAAAGCAAGTAAAGGGGAATACAGTTACATGGAGTTGCAGGGTATTCAAGGCAGATGTCAAAGATGATCCAGTATTGTCAAGCCTGTTGGTCAGGAGCGACTAATGACTTTGTTCAGCATCCCCCCTCCTCCTCCGGTAGTGACAGGGATTCTTCTGAGCTCTAACAAGATGCAAGTGGCACCTACCTTGCACACAGTGGTACGCACACAGATGCCTTTACTGATGGACAGAACTCTCTCTTCCGGTCCAGGTTGGTTGTTCTCAGCTACTGAAAGAATCTGAGAAACCACTGCAGGGAGCCCCTCCCTCTGGACAGAGTGAAAACCTGTCCAGCAATTCCCCAGGAGGGGACAGTGCTTCTATGGGTGAGTTTCAGCACCTGGAGATTTAGCAAATGTTCCTGGAAGTGTTTTGCTTGATGTTGTTTTTCTTGTTTGTTTGTTTGTTTTCTGATATTTCTTTATGTACTTCATACATCATTAACTTGTGTTCCTTTTTATCTTCCTGCTAACTCTGTAGAGACTCGAACTCAAGCTACAGACATAAGATCTCTTTTTCTTGAGGTGCTACAAGATGATACTTTTTTTTTCTATATCTGATATAATATATCCTATGTCAATAGCAAGCAGGAAATTTTGAAATATTCCTGTCTCTAATAACTTTTTGAAAGCTATGAAAGATGTGTGAACACAGCTGAGGTGCAGTGATGATCTCCTCATACCTTTGTAGGATATGAGGGATAGGGTAGTTCTTACTTGCTCAGCAAAAGGTTAATGAAAGGAGAAATGCTTGGTACTGTGCAGCACTGTAGGTCCCTAGTGGAGGGTTTTGGCCTCCCCTCTTCCAGATTCTTCCCCAAGCTAACTATATAGTATATTGAATAGAAAATACTGTTTGGAGTCAGTCTGTTCTGTAGAACAGTATGGGACTGGTGAATGATGGTTTGAACTGAAACAAACCACATATGATCAAGTGATGTGCATCTCTCTCTCTCACTAGAACTTGATAAGAAGGCGAGCTTGCTGAAGTGTGAATACTGTGGAAAGTATGCCCCAGCCACCCAGTTCCGTGGCTCCAAGAGGTTTTGTTCCATGACCTGTGCTAAAAGGTAATAGCAAGGCATTGTCTTCCTTTTCTCTGATTATGCATTATCTAGAACTGGGCATGTGCCTTGTGGTAGTGTGCAGTACTTCAGTACCTCTGACCCACCCACATGGAATACACTGACCACAGAGATCGTTTAGGGTTGAACCTCCTAATGGTTTGTGAATGCTTTTAGACCTGCATGAGGTAGATGACCTGTGAAGTGTAAACAGGATTCCTGACTTGTTCAGGAAATAAGATAAGAAAGGGAAACTCCTTATAGGATGTACATCTGATAAAGAGTGGTTCTCCAGAGCCCAAATGTCTAATCAGATGCTTACTGTTAGCCATCTGCTGTGTTTTTGATACCGCACAAAGACACAAGGGAGTATGGGAAGATGAACATGAGAAGTTGGACTAGTCATTGCCATCTCTTGTTGATAGTGGAAGGCATGTTATGGTTCATCTTTTCCATTAGGAAAGTGATCTAATCGATCCTTCAGATGTTAGATCAAAACTCTGATGTCCAAATATTGATTGCGTCACCAATCTGGACTGGTAACTTCAAGGGGAATTCTTAGGAGAAGGAACAGAACCTGATGATAAAGAGATTTATCCCCATTGAGAGGAAGGAGAAGTTGCTCTTTAAGTAGTTTCTGTTTCCTAACTGCAGCTCTGGTTCTACTTATTTGAGGTACAATGTCAGCTGCAGCCACCAGTTTCGGCTGAGAAAGAAGATGAAGGAGTTCCAGGAAGTTAACTATGCTCGCGTGCGGCGACGGGGACCACGGCGCAGCAGCTCTGAAATTGCTCGAGCAAAGATCCAGGGCAAGCGCCACAGGGTAAGGACGCAGTCCTGCCTGCCTCTGATCAGGCAGATCTCACTGTGACAGCAGTCACTGCTGGCTGTGCAGGAAACGTTTCCTACAGTGAGTGCGCTCTGCACCTGTATCTGTGCTGTAGCTGTGTTAGTTGCTGGATAGTCCTGGTTGCTTTACTTTGAGGCAAGGACTGAGCTTCTGGATGCTTACAAGTGCTTAGGTCAGACTTTCACAAGACATTGGGTCAGACCTAACTCACTGTGCTTCTGTATTGTTCCTGTCTTAGTGTCAATGATGTGAAGTGTGTTTTTTCTTGTAAATGCATTCAGAGCTGAGGTGAAATGCATGGCCCATCTGTAGGCATACAGCATATGCAGAGTGCACAGTGACACAGTTATTACACAACACACAAGGAACTGTCCCAGTTGTGCATCAGTTGCAAATAGTGATTCGCACTCATACTTGTTTGTTCTCTGTTAATTCCAGCATGAATTATAGAGCTCTCAGTGAGTGACACCAGCTGAAAACCTTGATAGAAAACAACCCACTTTCCTGTTTGGTTAGCTTTCTTCCAGCTTACTGAATTAAATGAGGTCATAGAAGGGCTCTAATGAGTTCCAGAACTGGCATGAAGACAGCTTACTGAATTAAATGAGGTCATAGAAGGGCTCTAATGAGTTCCAGAACTGGCATGAAAAGAAAGCAAAGAGGAGAGGAAGAAAGGGCAAAGCCTGCTTCTTCTGGCATCAGTGAGCTCTTGTCAGCTGTGACTGGATCAGCAGCCACAGACAGGGACTGTTGGGACAACTTTTGCTGTTCGCAGCGTTTTGTTTTGCTCTTAATGATTGTGATTTTCTTATACACACCTTCGCCTTTCTTTCTTTCCTGTGGGCTTGTAGGGCCAAGAAGATTCCAGTCGAGGCTCTGATAACTCCAGTTATGACGAGGCTTTATCCCCTACATCTCCAGGGCCCCTCTCAGTGAGGGCCAGTCATGGAGAGAGGGACCTGTCCAACTCCAGTATGGCCCCACCTACCCCAGACCTACATGGCATCAACCCAGTCTTCTTATCCAGCAATCCAAGTCGTTGGAGTGTAGAGGAGGTGTCTGAGTTCATTGCATCCCTGCAAGGTAAAGTTAAACTTCCAGCATGGGAAAAAGTGTTGGCTGTCTTTCTGGCAATGAGAGTCGACTGTTGTCGGTAGCCCCTCTATGTCCTCAAGCAGCCTGTGGCACAGAGCTTGTCAGGAGAAGGGGGACTGGTTAGATTCCTAGCTTGCTTTCTCTACTGGCCACCTGTCCCAAGAGGGAGAATGTGGAGAGTGCCTGGAGCACGTGTTTCTCAGTGCTGTTTTCTTGGCTTCACAGGTTGCCAGGAGATTGCTGAGGAGTTTCGGTCACAGGAAATTGATGGCCAGGCGCTACTGCTCCTCAAGGAGGAACACCTCATGAGTGCCATGAACATCAAGCTGGGACCAGCTCTCAAGATTTGTGCCAAGATCAATATCCTCAAGGAGACCTAAAACAGCTCTGAAGCCTTTTTGCTCTGACCACAGTGCAGCTCCTAGCTTTGGAATGTCTTGCTTGGGTGGTGAAAGAGAGGACCATTCCACAACAAAAAATGGGAAGGAAATTAGTTAACTGAGTTGACCTGCTATGCACAAGCCTGTGTCTTGGCCCCTTTATGGTGCTACAAGGAGGAGGAAAATTCCCACCTAGGCCTTGAGACTTTTTTCCTTCTTGATGGTTTTGAATATACTTCTGCCATACACCATGTGAAAAATGGGAAGGAAGGGGACCTCTTTCTGCCCTAACAGACTTCTGACAGGGAACTCCCCTGTCCCTTTTGCTGCATCAGGGCTGTTAGATCCTATGTAGCAAGCTGAATCTTGCTGTGCCAGAACTTGAGGCATAAAGAAACCTGCCTAGCACTAGTATTGTGAGCAGTTGTTTTTGGGACACTTAGAAAGAAGAAAAAGTAAATTCCACATGACAAAAAGATACAAGTGAGAGTTACAGACTAAGGGGCTGCCCCTCTTCCCTTATTCTAAAAATACCTAGGCTGTTTATGAATGGGGTTTAATAGACATTCCAGCAAGCATACCCAACCTACAGGCCCAAGGCCATAAGAGCTGCCTTAGCCTTCACTTTGCTGCATAGCAGGAGATGGTAATGCTAAGTGTTGTGGCAGCTTGTATGCTACTCCTTAATCCAGTCAGAGGAGGATTCATACCAAGTTCAAGGTGCTGGAGAAGAAAAGGGCGGGGGGAAAGTGCTTTACTTTAGGGGACTCTGCAGCACTAGGTTTGTTCTGCCATAATAATTTACAGATCCAAAGCAGTCTTCAGAAGTGCTAAGGCTCTTCATAAAATGGCTTGGGGGTTGTTTTTTTGTTTTGTTTTAAATGTATGATCTCTTATTTTTTTTTTGGTGTGTGTGGTCTGTCTTTATTACCCCCAGGGGAAGATACAGGGCAAGGATTAAGCTAAACTGGCAGGAGTGTAGCCTGCCAGTGTTTTGTTGTTGTTTTTTTTTTTTTTTTTTTTTTTTTTGTAGGAGGGGGGGTGTCTTTTTTGTGTGTGTGTCATTGTTAAACAGAGGAAGAAAAAAATACTTAATCTGCCCCACACACACAAGCTCCCACCCCCACTGCTCTTCCCTGTACTCTGATCCTTTAAGTTAGTTAGATGAACCCTCCCTGGCTGCTCCTGCCATTTTTGTTTTTAAAGGACCAAATGTATTCAGAAGCTTTCTAGCCAGCTTGCTAGAGATGAGCCTGGGCAGAGTTGTCCTGTAAGCAACTCTGCTTTTAAAAACAAACACGAGCTTAGGAAATTATACAAAGCACTGAAGAGGTAAGACCTCTTCTAAACCAGCTCTGCTGTTTTTGTAAGTTTCAGATAATTTTTCCAGCAAAACCTACATCTCTGGGAAGTGCCTACAGTTGGAAAGGTTTAGGATCACAGCAGGAGGCCTAATATGGGAATGAAAAGAGTACAGGTCTTTGGAAGGAATGTATTCACCCACCTCTTAAAGATACAAGTGAGAGGAAGTACAGGGCTTAGGATATGGCTATAGAGTGTGAAAGCAACTTCTAGTCTTAATTCAGGTGCTAAGTACAACATGGGTACTCTGATCATAATACCAGATCCATTACAAGTTGGGGAGAAAAGTTAGGATCACTATAGCCATTAGAGGATGGCTGCCCTTAGACAATTTTAGCCTTACCACGTTGCTTACAGGACAGTAACCCATGGCAGAGTAGAAAAAGCCTATCAATTACTAGCACCTTCCAAGGACTGGGTTTATTTCACCAAAAGGGAAATATTTTACCTGAAATTCATTATATATGTTCAAGGTTCTTAATGAAAAAAAATAAAAAAGGCTTCACAGCTATTTTTAGCATCACTTTTTAACCACCCAAACTGAGCATTAGTTTGGTGATTGTATCTTCCTAGAATTAAAGCCTTCATCAAGAAGTCAATTTTGATTTTATTGCAGAAAAATACAGGACATTGGAGACTACAATCCATAAGTGGCAGAGCTTTTACATTTCACTCCCGGATCAAGTCTTGAGGACAGATTTTCATAAGAGTTAGAAGCCATGACCCTGTACTCACAAGGGGCTATCCATTCCTGCCCAGGAGTGATTCAGACACAAGGCACTATATAATGAGGGCCCTCCACTTGTGACAAAGCTGTCCTGGAACCAAAAAAAGATGCTGTCTTAACACAACACTTCGGTTTGATTATTTTATTTTTTCAAAGTCATGTTTTGTACAAAAAAAATACCACCCATATCTTAAACACCACCATGAAAAACAGGAACAGACTTGGTGACTTCCTATTTTTTCCATGTTATGAGAAAGACTGAGACCATAACAAAAGTCAAGGAAAGCAGGAACTGTTTACCTATGCAATCCAGCAAGAGGGCAGGGCCACTTGCTTCTCAGCATCCCTGTTGAGACTATCTGCAGTATAAAAACGCATAAACTTTTTTGTTCCCTGTTAGCAGCAGTGGCTTCCTCACAGTCTCTACTCTCAAGACTGAAGATGGGTCTTTGTCTTCAGAATGTAACTTCTAGAGCCTACCCGCCTCAAAAGGAAGGTGCCAAGTTGAGGGTTGGACTAGATGATATTCAGAGGTCCCTTCCAACCTCAACCATTCAGTGACACTGTAAAGTATCTGAAGGCTCCAGTTAAACCTTGTAACTCTGCAGGCGCTACCTTGGCCGCAGGGGAATACTCTCTCTCCCACCTAGTAGCAGTGTGCAACCATCACCAGCACTGGGCAAGCATCATAAGACTGACCTGAATCACACTTGGGGGGACAGTGGCTTAACCAAGTGACTATAAGCTCAGGAGTATGCAGTTTTGAATCTGCTAGCATACTTATCCCTTGGCTTCTATGTTTTATTTTCAAAAAAGGAAAAAAAAAAAAAAAGTAGCCTCACAGAAAAATCCTCTACCAGACAGTGAAAATTCACAAAGCATACAATCAACAGCTCAGTTACTGTCAAAATTCTGAGCAGTTAGCCTGCATTGCGGCTACCTCCAACTATTTCGTTTTGTCCTGAGTTCAGTTTCACTTCAACACAAGTCCCCTTTACTTAGCAGCACATCATTTTCTTTGGCTTCCCAGTGACTGAGAAGATAAAGATGTCATCTGGACTGAAGGAGGAGGTCACAAAACAGTATCTTGTAGTTTTCAAGCATTGTCCCTTTCCAGTCTGAAAGAATACCAGTGGATAACCTACAGCTCTCTGCATCTCAAGAAAACTGGTGTGTACTTTTCAACACATTACCATTAGGAAAACAAAAGACTTCAGAAGTGCTAATGCCTCTTCCATTCAGAGTTTGGCATAGATGACCTTGTGCACATTGTGCTGGCTCGTGTAACAGGGCAGAAGCTAGAAAAGCTGGAAAAAAGTATTGGAAGTATAAAACCAGTGTGTTTCTTACAGATCTGATTAGCCTTAGAGGACAGACAAAAGCTCATCTCAGCTGTTTTAACTCACTGTCTTCTTTCACACCCCCTCTTTGAACCCATCTATGCCCTTCTCAATATCACATCTTCCAGCCCCACTCACTACTGAATGTTGAATATTCATTTTTGGTGTCACCTATTGCACTCTCAACACATTGCCCTCCCCCTCCAGCTCTACTGCATTCCTTGAAAGCCTAAAACACCAATAGATCCAGAAGACATGCCTTCAGGAATCAGTGGTGCTCATATCCAGAGGCTTTCTTGATGCCAGAAAAAGCAAAAGCGAAAAGTTTAAGAAGATCAGAAGCAAGAGAACTGTCAGGGAGGCACCTGGCTAAACAAGCACCAGGATGGAGGGGGAAGAGAGAGAGAGAGGAGAAGAAGAAAAAAAAAAAAAAGTGTTGTGAGCCCATCACATTGGCAGCAAGTGGTCATCCCGTTCTTCTGATTCCTCACCCAGCTGGTCATCACCCACACCACGGTATGCAGCTGGCACATTTCGAGGCTTAGATCGACAGACAAAGTCACAGCCATCCTACAAATACAGGTTATTACACCAGTAGAATCAGACTATGAGCATCATAATCTAAGTTAGCATCAAAGCAAAGCAGCTTTTATGACTTCTTCTGTTAAGGGATAATGCCTGTCCTCAAACTATCTGGGACAGATACCAAGAGTTGTCTTGGTAAGGGGAGCATGCATACAGAGATATTACCCACTCTTCAAGGCTTGTCAACCCTGGGGGTAAAGCATGGTATTGATTAGCAGTATGCAAAAACATAACACTGAGACAAGCATAAAGGACCAGACAACAGAGCCTAAGGTGAGCAAGGAATAATTTCAAGGAGCCAGACAAACACTTCTGTTCCCACCTTACCATTCCTAGCTGAGAAGTGTTAGCCATGAACAATCATGTGCTATAGTTGGGCAATCACAGGATATTAGCACCACTCTTAACACTTAGCAAGCAAGTACTACAGAGTAAGATGCACACCCTCATCTGCCTCAGGTTACTCTGCAGCTGGTCTACCCAGCCACAGACCACAAAGATGAGGCAAGTCCTAATTGGCATTTTCCTTATACACTAGTATATGGACCATGTTGGGGATATAGAAAGATTTGTCACTCACCGCCACCAAATTGCCCAGATCTTGCCAAAAGGCAAAGTGAGGAAACTGCTCCATGCCCTTAGCTCCTACCACTAGGCGCTGGTACAGGAATCCACCAACGATGTAGACTGCAATCAGTGACACAAATCTAGAAGAACGAGATAAAATATACCACACACAAAGCGCCAAGGTCAGAGTCGAGAAAACTCTGCACACCACCTCTCCATAGCCAGCTGCCTGCCTTAAACAGGTATTAAGAGTTAGTAACTGAGTACCATTTTAGAAAAGAGCAATAAACAGAAAACCAGGCCAGGAAAGATACCTCAAAATATTCATTTTCAGGTAGAAATCTTTCAACAGTATCGCATGAAATAGTGCCTTTAAGCACAAGTACAGAAAATAGAGTTAAGACCCTTACCCTGAATTCCCAGCTCTGGCAAAGAGCTGTGGTACAATTTTAGGAGGTCATATCTTCCATGTTTCAGTATGCTTCTCCATAAACCAGGAAGGAGATGTCTACAGGATGCGTAGTAGCCCTATGCCATCATGCTTTAAGCAAAAACTTCTCTCCAAAGGCTCAGAGATATAGTAGCATTTAACAGTGGCTGCAGACAGCCATATTAAAATTATCTGGTCTAGAAGAGCATTTGCTTTGTTTCTAAATGACATTGGAGATTATGGCCTAGGAATGAACACACTCTCCAATAACTCACATTATTAGCAGAATGGAGCCAACACTCAGGTGGGAATCCTCAGCTGGGCAGGCCACACTGCTGTCCATCTCAAAGAGGTAAAAACACTCCTGCTCCTTTTCTCGCTCTTCAGAAATTATGTTGAACGAACTCTGTTTTTGGAAAAAGCCAGGTTGTGAAAATCTGCCCAGGCATGCTGGACTTTACAAGAAGGCATTTTACCACTGTTGGTACAGCTATACAGTGGGGACTGGACGACAGAAGAAAACCTCACTGCCTCCTCAAAGCCCTTCTACTAATAATCAACCATTAGACAAACTCTCCTGCCTCATGCGTCACTCACCGCTGTAAACCCCCGCTTGCAAGAAATCATTATCACTGCTCTTCTCTTCTCACCACTGCAGTGTCTGCCGTATGAGTCACCTCCTTTATAAATAAGCATGATCCAATCACCTGCCAAGCAAAAGAACATGGGCTATATAGATGCAGACCAGAAGGCAACAGGCAGACATTGAGTAAGCAAGTTATTAGGTGGAACCTTACTTCCATTGAAGACCTGGGTTTCATTGATTCTTCCTATGACTGTAGTCTTTCCAGTCTTTCTATCAATTTGTACTAGGCCAGCAAGATCATGCAAGGAGCTATCAACCTCCCTGCATACCCTGAAGTGATAGGTGTAGTTTTCTGTGGTGCCTAGCTCCACAGTCGTGTTAAACCTGCAGCAAAGAGGGCACAGAGCAGATTACCTATTGAATTATAAGGAATAGGTTGAAAGCAATCATTAAAAGACACTGGGAGCCAGCCATAGCCCATATCACAGCCTCAAAGTTTTCAGCCTCCCTGACCCAAGAACTGCAGTGAGTTGATATGGGTTTGCACTGTACCTCATTTGGCTCAGAGGTTCCAGTTTCTCCAACAGGGCTTTTTCTGTTTCAGACTCGCTGCCCTCATCTCCAATCACATCACAGTGCTTCTCTTTTATCTCTTCAGCCCAGACACTGACAGCCAGGACCATAAGGACTACCAGCAGACCAGAAGTATGCCAGGCTGATGACATCCTGGATATATGCCAGCCACAGACTGCAAAAAGGAGAAGTCAAAAGCAAGAAATATCTCAAAGTTCCCATGAGACACAAAACCCCAGGGTCTGACATGGTCAAAAAGAATTCACTGATACAGAGGGTCTCTTGGAGCTTCTATTCTAAGATTCCCCATGAGACCACAAAGTTTTGCTGCTGAACTCATTAATTAGCCTTGGTTCGGCCAAAGCTGAGTCCAACAGGCTCTAGACTAAACACTTTCATAAGTCAGTCATTCTTCAGCACTGCAACCCCCCCTGCCCCAAAGAAGCCAATCAGCAGAAAGTGATTTACTAGTCCTCTAATCAATTGTCTTGGCAGCTCTTATTGCTTAGCGCCCACCAGCATTAACAAGCTTGCAGAGTACAGAAACTATTAACCAGACTCTGTTCAGGTTCCTTAATCCTAATAAATGAATTATTAGAGCATTACCCTTTTAAAATTACTTCTAACTGAGAATCAGAAAGCATTCTGTAGTACAAAGCTGCAACTTCACAAAAAAAGCATTTTCTTCCATTTATGTGGGAGAAGAAAGAAAACAAGGCAGCATTTCTAAGATAAACAGAAGAGGCAGTAGCAAGGATGAGAATGCAACCTGGAAGCTTTGGCTTTAGGCTATGGCTATAATCACATGTGAAGCATGGACTGATTGTGTCGCCTCCACCTTCAGTCAGTTTCGCAGCAGACTCTCCTCTGCTTCTGCTATGGCAGAAGTCAGGAGCGTTCCCAAGGCTGGTGAGAACTAACCAACAGTGCAGCAACTTCATAAGCAACTAGCTGTGGGCAGCCAGTCTGTTCTGTGGAATGTAACTATTATCCCTCATCCCCATAGGGTTCATCATGAGAAGCTACAACTTTTAAGCCACCATTTTTTAATCCCAGCAGATGTAAACTTAAGGACCTTAAATATACTTAGCTAGGGACAGCCCTGACTCAGGAACTCATGATTTGCTTCTCACAAGACATCAAGGGGAAGTCTTCTCCCAGGACCAGAACAGATGGCTCCGGG